TCAACAGCAAAACTTCACGCCGTTTTTAGGAGTTAGACTCTGAAACTTTGCACACATGTACCTTGGGTCATTACGAAACGCTGAGTGGAGTTTTTTTTTTTTTTCCTGTCGCCGGATATCCGGGGTCCTAGAGATGTCGGGGTCGTGTGCAGCTCCTGGGACCCCGAATAACCGGCGACCATGGAACGAAATGATAAAAGCCCCGCCAAGCAGCGTTTCGTATTGACCCAAGGTATATGTGTGCAAAGTTTCAGAGTCTAACTCATAGAAACGGCGTGAAGTTTTCAGCTCCTGTGCCATGAAGTATTTCGCATCCTGGATTTCCCCAAACAATAAATACTTGATTAAAGTATGAAACGGCGAAATTCAGGTTCTTTTGACGCCCAAACGACCCCATTTCATCAGTTTATCGAATTAGTTCATGAAAATTCATAGACACGGTCTTTGGAATATATAGGTAAGGTGGAATCAAGAAAAAAAAAATCACCTATTGGGACAGATTTTTGGGGTCCCGCAAAAGAGGCTATCTCCAACGCAGTTTGGCCCACCGACGGCAAGTCATAAATCGACCATTTTTCGACCGTATTAGGCCAGGTTATGGAAGATGTCGACGAAACTCCATGCGAAGCTTCATTGAACTGTAACGGTATCTTTGGTTAGAGGGAGGATCACAAACAGCCATGTTACCGGCATGTTGGGGTCTGCAAGAGAATCTACCTACTAGACGGAAACACCGACCGTGCTGCTCCGAAGAGAGTTTTTTTTTCATCCCAGCGCGGCCTTGTGCCAGCTTGAATGGGTGATAAAACACTGTTGATTAATGCACCGAAAACGCAAACATGTCAACATGCATGGACCGGTTCGCTGAGGGTCACACCGCACCGAACGAATAACATGTCGAGACGGGATAACCCGATCGACATGCATGAAAAACGCACCCAGTCCATCACTTCATAAAAAAATACAACCGTACTCTGTGCAACCAATGCATTGGGCTATAGGAACTGTTCCAAAATAATCAAAGACATATCAACCGGTTATCCGGGGTCCTCCTCCCAGGCGGCGCCAGCAGCCATTGCATCGCGGGCTTTCGGATGCGCGTCCTCCACTGAGTCCACTAAGTCGTCCCCCGTTGCGTGTTCCGGGTTGCGTGCACNTAATACTGGTGGGGGGTAATTTTAACGGAGGACAGACCGGAACAGACGGCGATAGTATGGCTGTTAATGAAACTGTGCGATACAGCTTGGATACAAGGACTGTGTCTTGGAAGGAAAAAACAAAGAGCGCCTGCTAGAGGACCGTTACTCAAATTGAAAATAACACGTGAATGTCAATCATTGTACTCTGCAAAACACACAGCCTCCCGTCGTGCAATACGACAGCCCCTC